AACTCAGAGCTAGGAAGGATGGACAAGCCTTATGAACTTGAAGAAAGACTTACAAGCACTTGAGTGCTTTTCCAGTTCAATTGCAACTGTCTCATGAACCTCATGAATCTTGCTTCGCTTAAAAGCAGTGTCATTATTCAGGATAATAAAATCCAGGGTGTTCACAGGATCAAGGCATTTTGGGTGTGAAGGTGAGGCTGATCTATGAAAGCTAGACTCCCTGGCTAGCTGAAGAAATGGTTGAGTCAGAGAGAGAATTTTCAGAAAGTTAACTGTGTAGTTTGGCCATTTCCTCTCATTTGCCCTTTCTGGATTTGTAACACAAAGTTCAAGGGGAAAAAAAAAAAATCTAGTAATTATGCAGCCTAGTATTTAAGGGAGAACTTCCCCGAAGAAATTTACTGAAAGATGAGTTTCTAACTCTTTATTTACCACAATCACATCCTCTATATCTACATTCTTAACTATACCCAAAACAAGAGATGAAACATAACGCTACAATTTAATTAGCAGTGAGAATCCATTTATAATGGGGAAAAAAAGATTTAGATATAAATAACCTTAAAAAAGAAAAAAAAATCAGTCCTGGCTACATTCTCCCTGAGGGCAAACATGTGATACACCCACAGATGTTAATGGATTGGTATGCAGACAGTCAAGGGCAAAACTTGACCCTCAAGACCAAACCTAATATCTGGGAAAGATCCATTTTTATTATCAAAAAAATAAAAGCTTTAGAGTTGTGTAACCTCAGTCATAAAGAAACATTTTGCACCTGCATTTGTACTATTACAAGGACACATTTAACTTTGTAGTTTTGTATTCAGACACTCATAAAAATATTCAGAATAACATTGCCTTTTGCATGAATGTTTATAGTCATGAGGGAAAGATGTTGTCTTTTTCCCTTTCCCCTTTTTAGCCTTGTTATGAGGGTTGAACTGGCTTACTTTAATCCCTGCTTTCAGGAATCAAGGCAAGTCATATCACCTAATATCTTTGTTGTCATTGGGAGACTTATTGCCATGCACTGGTGAAAAATAAGCAGAGCACTGAGGTTAGAAAACTAAAATATTCCAGGTACACTCATACTTCCAAAAGCTTCAACTATAAAGTGAAATGACATGCTATTATATACCTTTGAGCTGCTTACGACCTCTGGCCAAATCATTCATCCATTTCAGAACTTCAGGATTGGAAGTCTTGTCACCATGTGAAGGCTGAATGTAAAGAAAAAAGGAAGAATAAAAAAGAAGGCATTGATGACTATACAATCAAACAGATAAAAACCTGTCCACACACTATGTGCTAAAAAACGTCCGTAGTTCCAACTGCACTATATCATAGTGTCATGCAGAGCATTTGGCTTGATCATGGTACTAATTTATCATGCCTTATCTCTCCCCATTGTGGCACGGTGCTACATGGATCTGAGTATCTTGGCTCTGATCCTAAAAAAAACCATTTAAGTCCTTGACTAATTGGATAAGTAATCTCAGTGACTTCAAAAGGACTAACCTAATGTTAGTCAAGTTCCTAAGTGATTTCCAGGATGGTAACCGAAGCACTCCGTCCCTTGCAGGGACAAGCCCTTACTGCTCTAAGACGGGGATTCTCTTGGGAAACAGCACTTTAACTGAACTGCTTAACTAATCAAATGAAAAAATCCTGTGCAACAGAGTGATTTCAAAAGCAACAAACAACAAAAGCTTTGTATATCAGTTCTTTCTTGGCATTTAGATATTTCTTCCAAATTAAAATCAATTTACACTGGATCTTCAAAGTGGCAAAACGGTTTTGCAAAATTAAACCTCTGAAATAAATTCTTTTCTGGTCACAGTGTGATGACTGTTTAAGTATGAAATTTTACTCCTAAGAGTATATGATGACCATAGGGCAGTACAATTCACAAATGTACGTTTAAGTTTGCAGTCATTGATGAGATTACAAGGTAATATACAATTTGCTGAATTTTCATTTTAATTCATCATAAAACATCACAAACTTCCCTGTTTCATATTGTACACATCCATCACAGATGTTTTGATATGTTTATACTGCACAATTCACATTATACAAACTAGCGCGGTATGAGAGATGATCTTGCGTACGCTGCACAGAGCACACCACTGACCTCGAACAACCCCCCACCAGCAACACACTACAATTTTTATTTCTCTAATTTCTGCCATCAGCTTCTATTGAGCCCTGTGCTTTGGAGGTTTACAGGAGTCTGCTTGAATGAAGGAATCTGCACAGCAGAGCAACAGTTTCCAAGCAAATGACTTCTACAAAGTAAGTAAGGAGCTTTTCATCTTTTGAATCGTTTTGGTTCACAAGTCTGTCAGCTATGTTTCACTGATTCACACTTCTCACACGCCTAGAAGATGGATATTTTGCAACAAAGGTAATCCAAAGAAAATGCAAATTAGAGTCTCAGAACTATTGCATACACTGAAAGATGGCAAAAAGATATTCCCTCATTGATGATTTTCCTATTTCATTTTACCAAAAATACCTTTTTTCCTGTTGTTTTGCATAAGTTTAAATACACTGGGATTCTTGCTTGCCTCTTACAGTATTTTCCTTTGTCTTTTCAATTATTATCTTACCAGGTATTTTTTTTCTTGCTCAAACTTTTCTTCATACTTCCTAATTTTTCTCTTTAGACTCTGAAGATGTTTGGTAAGTTGTGCTACTGTTTGTGGTTCTTTGCACTCTTCACAGTTACATCTAGAAGAACTTCTTGGCCTGCAAAAGCCAAAAGCATAGTAGCTGGATCAAAGAACTGGCTATAATGGACCATGCCTTGTTTCAGGCACACTTAACGCTTTCCTAGCACTTCAGAATTTGCAGCTAGGTTCTTTCATGGGATAGAGATAGTTTAGTTTTTACAAAGTAAGCATAAAATAATTACTTTTGCTTGAAGGTACCCCTAGGGTATACCAATGAGTTCACCATCTGTCTTTCACTCTTTTTTTTTTTTTTTTTTTAATTAATTGTGGGATTTCTGAATATTTTTCAAAAGTTTAATCTAGTAGGTCACAACCTGATCCAATATTCACATTTAACACCTGCATCTTACTTCACAAATCTTCCAACTGTAATGGGAGACTGTAATGACATGATTTGTAAATGTAAGCTCAGGGAGCTTTTTATTACTGAGAATGAACATTATCATTTTGAAGGCAGTTTAGTTTCTGATTTTTTACAGTTGCAAATCAATAGATCTGATTATCATTCATATGCAGCTGACAGTTATGTTTATAAGCTTTTAAGAAAGTTTGATTTTTGTCTGAAACTCACAGCTTGGTTTCTGGAGAACCCGTATATGGTCTGTTTGTATGTTCTATGACACTCTAATATCTAGCAAATGACTCACGCTATAGCTCTATTACAGCTGAAGTTTTTCATATTATACCTTGATAGCCCTCTATCTTATGTTCACTCCTCAGACTAATTACTAACTAATATTTAAAACTGTCCTTGCTAACTGTAACTAACAAAGACTTCAGGCAATATTGTACTGTGTTATTACTGAAAATATGCTAGATCCTATTTCTGGTATTGCAAATTAACCATGTCAAAATATGCTAGAGTATGAAAATTTCTTGTTTATGACATAACAGTAACTGAAAAAACATTGAGTCAAAGACTGGATTGTACAAAAATTATTTAAAATATCTAAGAATTTAAATATATTTTCTTACATCATGAAAGGTTGAGCACTTGGTGGAGAAGGGGCAGACTCTGTGTCTAGATTAAATCTCTGGCTTTGGCTAAAGATAGAGCATCGTGGTGACAAAAGAGGATTGTCTCCATCCGTAATGTGATACAGCAGTCGACTGGTCCCGAGGGAATGATGTTCTTGTGGGCTGCTGTCCATGTCATTCTGCCAGTCTCTATGGGCCGGCACAGGCTCTAGAAAGAAAGCATAAACCAATATGGACTGAGGGTCACTCACAAGATGTTTAGCTACCTAGATAAATACAAATCTATACTTACAGAAGTATTCAAAGCATAAGTATTCAAAGTAAACAGCAAATAGTTCAGCAAAGTGTCACATGCAGGATGAACATAATACTGAGGATAATAAAACAGAAAGGACAGTTACTGGCTTAACATAAAGCATTTTTGTGTTCCACAGAAGAAGGTGGGTGGGTGTATTTATTCATAAACTACGAAGTATAATATAAAGATGGAGAGTTTCCCAGAGTAGTAGCATTAATTATATTTTCATAGATCTGTTTGATTTTGAAAGCCACATTCCTGAAGAAGACAACAAACGTACAAAACAAGTTTAATTTTGTGATTTAGCATTTAGTCCTTTGATCAAGAGAAAGGCAGATCAAAATTTAATATGTCCGGATGCTAACAATCTCCAGTGCTGCTTGCAGTATCCTGCAGAATTTCGTTAAGGTTTGAAGTAACATACACATGGGTCTAAAGAACACAAGACACGAAAATAACAACCACCAATAACATTCAAGGTAGTGTGCAGTGGCTGCTACTTGGAGAAGTCATGCTAATGATACTATGTTAATATTGTCTTTGACTATAAATGGAAACCTTGCCTCAGGTGCCTCAAAAGGTAAAATTTGTTTTATAGAGGTGGTCAAGCTAGAAGTCGGAATGATTTATTCTGGACTGAAAAAGTAGGAATTGGTGAACCTCATCACGCTGATTCTGTTTATGGGTAACATGGAAAATAGTGGGCACATTACAGAGCCTACCTCCAGGGAATACCAGGAGTTCATCTTCCCTTTGCTGTACCTTAATGGGAAGAACCATTGAATCTTCTTCCTCACCTTCAGTGGGCGAAATGGGTGGGGATGATCTAGCCTAGTCAATATTTTTGCTACGAGATGACTGTGCTTTAAAGCAGATTATCTTTTTAGGGAGAAACTCCATGCTCTCATAAAAGCTCTCCCCCAAAAACCAGTTAATATATGTTAAAGCAGAGAATGTGCTCTGTCTCAGGTTCCCCTACATCAGTTTCCATAGTACATAATATTTCGCACCAGCTACGTTATTTTTTTCCTCTAAAACCATGTATATATAGCCTTTGAATTCATATCAATTATTTTGTATTTCCAGGCAGCATGCGTGTTATTTCTAATCAGTATTATATTTGCAATATAGCATGCATTCTAACACATTTCACAGAATCTTTTTATTCAATGAAAGCCTAAAACTGCACAGGAAAACAACTGAACAACTGTACATGGATTTATTCACAGAAGAACAGGCATGTTTAGAGAAGTTCTTTCACCTTAACTTTCTTTCCATTTTCTCCTTTGTACATGGGACAGGACATTTCCATGGTGAGTGGGTATTTCCTTCAGGATTTTAACAGAACCTCTGTAATTCATTTTATTTGACTTCTGCCCAACAGATACTGAAGCTACAAATCCCAGTTGCTGCACTGGGACAGCGGGGACAAACCAGCTCTGAATGGCACCCTTTATAGAAAGCAACTATTGATTTACAAAATAGTAGTTACAATGGCCTAAAATATCATTTTATCAGGCACTATCCAACTGTTTTTGCTTTACAGACAACAAAAAATCCAATTGTATAATCACACTTCAGTCTGTCATGCAAACGTCACACGACTTTTGTATTTATAAGTTCATCTACTCTAACAGAATCATCAATTACAATTATGTTAAGCATTTTCACAATGAGACAATGTAGTTGATTATTAATTCTAACCTAGCATCTTTCCTCTAAGTACTTCATACTCTGTAGGTCAAATTCAACTCTCCAAGATACCACAGCAACACCCAAAACTTGTAAATCGTGTATGACATTCAAGTCCTCCCATGGAGAGATCCAGAAAGGCATCTGGGAGAAGCAAGGGTAGAGCATTGTACCAGTCATGGGAAATGATGTACACAGAAAACATACAGTGATAAAGGCTGGAATAAACGTTGTTCTGCAAACAAAAGTGTCTCTTTCTGGTAAGTAATCTTTCCTTACCCTGTAAGACTTAAAAAAATTACTAGTTTTAGTTGGGTTTTGTTTTGTGGCTTTTTTTTTAACTTCTGAAAAATAATGTTGTCAATTAGAAGAAACTGGCTTCCTTCCTTTTATTTCACCATCTTTGAACTCCAAGAAACATATAATCACTGTGAAGTAGGTTGACTAAGAATAGTTTCACTATTTCTCATGCTCTGTTATTAAAGGGAATAATTTTTTTTATAGTCATATTAAGTAGCAGTCTCTTCACTGTGAAAGGAAAATGATGTTATAAAAAAATCAGCCAGTCTGTGTATGATAGATGCAGGAAAAAAGTTTCCAACATTTGAACTCTCATTTTCTGTGGACCTAGAATTACTCCTCTTGCAGGAGGCCGTCTGTACTGCTGATAAACTATATGGTCACAGACATTTGCTCCTTTTCACATTTACAACCAGGCAATTTTACTAGGCCCAACCCAGTCTCAGAAATGGAAGAAAAGTACACATTCAAGACTAAACACTCCTGGAAGATAAATGCAAAGGACAAGTAGTGACTTGTAAGACAATGTAAGACCAAGCACACAGAGCTGCAGAGAGTTCAAGGAGGTTTTTTTCATTCAGCTAGCAAATGAAGGGGAGACAACCTGCATGCCAGGTGAATTTGGGAGTATTTCCCAAAGGCTAAGGCTCTTCCATTTCCTTGGCACCAGGGCTTCCTGACAGCATTGCTCCACTGAAGCTCACAGACTGGTGCAGCTTTGTTAGGGCCCCAAGAAAGGTTTTAGTCCCAACCCTACCACAGATGCATTAAATTACTACCTACTCTCCAGAAGTGGTCAGCAAGTCATTCAAACTGATACATTTACGTGGCCCAATTACTATAATAGCGGAACATCTCAGGATGATGACAAGTTATAAATAACCCCATTTTTAATTACAACTTAAGGCCATCATCCTGATTCCAGTTCTGCATAGATCCTAAACAAGACGCTAAGCATTATCCTGAGAGTAGCCCACGAACTGACCAAACATCTGCCTGTGTTCATGTGTCTGATCTAATTTTAGCCTCTATTTTTGCCAAAACTGGGAACTAAAGCCACCTCTAACCAAGCCAGTAAGTTTCCCCTTAGCCTGCACCTTCTCCATCTCATCTACTCAGTCCAGCTTAGCACTGAGAAGAGCTTACCACAGGACTTAAAGCCAAGATCTGTTATCTTATAATATGCAGTATGCTTCATAATGTGGACTTCAATCATATGACAACAAGTCGTATGGTACAAGTTTGTATTCCTGTGTGTGATATTCTTTAAGTAAAACAATAATACACTGAAATCTGTTGTGTATAAAAAAGAATATGCAGATGTAATGTGTTCATCCCTCAACACGTTATGTCCATGAATGTCAGTATCATAATTTTTAATTTAAAAGACATTTAGAACATCTTGTAGTTAAGTTCAGCTGCTTACTGCTCAAGTCACATATTGGATGTATACTTATATCCAAAAACTATAAAAATAACTCACACTCTGCTTTTCTTTTTTTCCCTTAAAAAACTAGCTTAATACTCCCTTGCAATTTTTTATGGTCTCATTTTGCCAGCTCTACTTCATATTTTTTCATATTCAAAAGTAAACTGGAAATTGCTGACATTACTCAGAGATAAGAATTACTGTTCACCCCTTAAAATTTGCATCCTGAAATACCCTGTCATTTTTCTAGACTGTTCTAGCTTCACTCACCATACATATAATGTACTTTTTTCTAATTTTTGTTGACTGGGATGTGAAACAAAAGAAATTAAATAGACTACACAATCATGTTTATTTAAAAAATAATACATTTGTACATTGTTAATATTAAAATTTTTATTGCCTGATTCACTGAGCAAAGGCTAATAACTAGAGACGTAGTATATATGGCACATCCTCTAAAAACTCTGTTCCTAGCCTGGTACAAATCTCTGGACTTCCATCCAAGTTCAAGCTGAAATAGCCAATAGTCCCATGTGCAAACTGTACCTAAACTGAATGTATCAGAAGGTTTCAGTAGTAATTTAAGGGACAGAATTAGGACTAGCTCTAGCTATGCAAAATGGCAAGTTATTGAAAAAAACACAAACCACAAAGCAGATGTTACAAGGATTGAGCGTACATTAAAATCCATTAAATAGGTAAGCTTTAATTAAAGCACAAGTTTGAACTGCTAGAGTGACAGAGCATGCTCTGAACTGTGTGAGAGAAATGCTACATCATCTAAGATTTGCCTGTGTAGCTGGAGATAAGCAAATAGGAGCTAGAGAGGGTGTCAGAAGTAGGGGTCACTAACAGTATGAATTAAAACAAAATCCAATCAAAACAGCAAAAATAAGCAAAGGAAATTATTATGAATCATCCTAACAATGAATTGTGAAACTACCAGAACAAAATAATTCAGTAAACTACTGGAAAAGGAGGAAAAACCCACCCTGCCATAAAGGAAAAGAGTCAGTGCAGATTTTGGATGCAAAATGTCTCTCCCTGTGCAGCACAGATATGAGATCTGTCTCTGCCTCAGATCCACGCCAAGGGACTAGCACCAGTGCAAGTTCCACACCTGTATCCAAGAGCTATTAAGGTATTTGCCTAGCTGGGCTAAAGCATCCGTATTTTTTTTTAGCTAAAACCCAGGATATTTAGTATTTTTTCCATTCCTTCATCTTTATAATAATTTGGACTGTACATACCATTTTCCTTAATTGTGCAATGCAAACCTCAAACTTCAGAATTTCTTAAGTAGAACACCAGCATTTGTGATTTTTTTTTAGGTAAAAAACTTACTGTTATTTCTTGCTGAAAATTCTGAGTAAACAGCTTCTGAAATAAGTTCTTCTGAACCCAGCCTTTATTCTGACATAAAACTTCAATTGCAAAGGGGTTACTGACCTGTCTGCCTTAATTTGGACCATGCATGGTGAACAATTTAAGTATTTGTGTATTCACATCGCTTGTCTGTGAGATGTATTAGTCATATTGCCTTTGATCTATTTTTCACAAACAGTGTTTCCTCTTCTACTGAGCATCACGACTGCCAGCCCTGTGACTACAAGCTATGAATTGACAAAAATAGTGCCGACCCTTCGGGCTATTTATTTGCAAGGACTGGTTTCCATATTGAGGAAAGAGAGAGAGATAACATACCACAGTTTGCCCAGATGGGTAATAATACAGGTTCCTGAATTATTAAAATCCACATGCTGTAAAACTCACCTTTGCTATCTCTCTGCTGATGCATTAAATTAAAATCAATACTAGGAGAAATGAAGTGATATTGCTCTGACAAAAAGAATGACAAAAATAGAATTACACGATATGGCAGGTGATCTCACACAGTACAGACACAGGAAGTAAAAAGCATAAATTTACTTGAACAAAAAAAACCAGATTAAAACCAAAAATAAAAGAACCAGGGTTCTTAAAACCTGTCTGAAAAGCAAGACTCACCCTCAGAAAAACAGAATGTTATGGCCATTAATTTCCGTTCTTTTAACAGGTATCACCCCTTTTTACATTACACAGCGTTTGCATCAGGAAATGGTGCTTTGCATTAGCTCTACACTGCTTCCCAGGGGACTGCAAATCTGCTATTAAACTGCAAGTCACAAGGCTTTTTTATAATTGCAAATGAGAACACATCATGACACGATCGCTTACCTCCACAACTGGCCCCATCAGCTTGCACAGTGGTTTGGACTGATGAAGGGGCTGGATCCTTGGGTGCCGGCAGCTGAGGAGTTTCTTCCTGGGTTGGCAGAAACGCAGAGCACAGATCGGTGTCAAGGGCTTGTAGCTTCAACAAAGAATTCTGCAGACAAAAGCAGAACATTGGGCTAGCTAGAGAACAACAGAATACAGCGATAGCTCTTCAACTCACTGAGCCCATTAGCAGCGTCTGCAAAGGGGTGTTCCACTGGCAGCTCTGAGAAGACGTGCAAGAGAACAAACGTGCACTATTCCACGAGTTTCTTGACTGCTGGTTATTTAAGTCCCAATTTACATAGATTATTCATGACACGTGGGAAAGATGACTTCGTCAGCAAAAGACGATTTATTCTAGGAAGCCAAACTGAGGTGGCGTCCCTTTTCTTGGTCTTGAAGCAATACACTAAGCAAGTATTTCATTCATTGGGCTGACATCACAATCTGATGACATTATGTCCCTCCCCATTTACCATTCATAAAAAAAGCAAATCTCCCTCTCCAGCCTATTGTGCAGTACGCAACAGTGAACAAAGTTACTGAGAACACGCTCCCTCATGGGATTCTTGGAAGAGATATTTTTTAATTGGCTTTTTTAGAGATACTTCTTTATGTAGACGTAGCTTTTATGTAGGCTGCTGCTTCTACAGAGCTACCAGACCATTTCCTATCCGCTGCAAAGGAAAAATTAACAGATCATTGTCGCTGCAGACAAATCAATGAGGACAAGGCTAGTTATCTATAACATCACTTCCAGCTACTCTGTCATGCTTGGCCCATTTCTCATTTTAATCTTTAATGCTGCATGCAATATTCAGCTATACAACCTGACACAAGCATCTAGCTGTGATGTAAATGCTGTGAAAGCCCTAATCACCATCTGACTGGGCAAAATGAGTCACTACCGATACCCCACACATTCAGTTCCCCTCTCTCAAGGGAAATACAGCTTGCAACATAAAATGAAATCACACAAGGGTGTCTTAATAATCACACAGCTGGCACACACAGAATTATACATAAAATGTTAAGTCACTCAAATGGTACATATTTGCAAAGAGCAATTTAAAAAAAAAAAATAAAAAATCTGAGTTGCAACAGAAAAAATTCCTCAAGTTTATACCCTGACAAGCTCCTGTCCCCACTCTGTCAAAGACCTGAAACCAATTTATTGTTTTATTTAATGAAATAATGAATTTATTTATTGGAATCATTTCCTTTGTGTAACAATATGTCACCTATGTAGTGAGTAGTTTAATATGTCTTTGCATTATTTTTATAGTTATACAGCCCTTTTATAAACCCAAGGATGCCAGTGTTTTTAGGTAAAAAAAAATAAAAAAATTAAAAAAGGAAACTAATTTGGCTGAGAACAGCAGGTAAGATTTCAATCTTAATCCTTTCATTCCTTCTATAGAATTCAGGCAGTGAAAAGGGAGCAGAAAGTAGCTCTTTCTAGGAGATACCTCAAAATAGGAAAGTTTCGAAAAAGCACAAGATCACCGTAACCAGATTCCGTGACCCTCTATGTGCTGTCAGGAGTGCTTCAAAACCCATATCCCGTTCCACAGAACAGATTAGGTTACAATCAAACACTTGGACTTTGGCCTCAGCTTAGGTCAAAAAGGAAATCCAGGAACACGTTCCTTCTCCTGGTCCCAGAGCTAACAGGAGCTCTGGCCATTGCTATCAGAAGCAGCTTGGTATTAGAGATGTGTGAGCAAAGAAATGGCTTGTGTTATACATTTGTTTTAGAATTAAGTTCCTCTCATCTTGTGTCAAGATACATTTTGACATCTCATCCTATAATACCAGGAAAGAAGTGATTGCAAGATCAAGCACTGATTCATAATGAAATGCCTAAATGTAATATTGTTCTTTAAAAATACGGCATGATATAGAGCTGTTTTCTATGATCTGAGGCAGAAGATACTTTTACTATTCCCACGTAGAGGCTGCATTAACAACCTATCATCCTCTGGCCCAGCTGCCATTTGTAAGGATAATTTACCCGTCTTGACCAGCAGTGTCTCATCTTCACACCTCAGTTTCTCCAGGACTCCTGAATGACTGGCGTCTTTTCCTTGTCATTTACTGGCACTGTTTGGTCCAATATTTTACATATATTACTTCAAACTGATCTGGCTCCTTTGACCTGTCTGCTAGAAAGGAATACCAGGTGTGCAAATGTCCCCAATATGGTCTTTATCAGTGAAGACCAATATAATGAATTCACTCAGCCTGTCTGTTTACAGCCATATCATCTTAGTGCCCATTTTACATGTCAGCCAGCCAGCAGTCCCAGCGATACCCTACCTGGCTTCCTGCTTTTGGTGTATTTAGCAGACTTCTTACCATCAATTTGAGCATCTTTTATGAGGCACTTTCAATGTCTTCTTTAATCCTCTACAGAGCTTTCTTGAATTAGAGACAGAATGATGGAAACCATCCCACCTTCAACAGCTTTCAAGTGGCAGTGAATTTTCCTTCTCAAGGAAAGGGTGCTGACTTGAATTCTACCCATGGTATGTTTTGGGAAGAATTTTCATGCCATGATAGCCTTCATTTTCCACTGCCTCTCACCCCAGCTAGACCCAAACGAAGTGGCTGTGGAATTATCACAACAGATGGGCAGCGTTTTACAGTCATTAATGTCATCTAGCAAAAGATGACTATACCAGTTACAGACCAGTGAGGACTCTGATCCCCGCCCGGACCTTATCACGAGAACTGCTGATGGCAAGTAAGGAAAACATAGGCAAACATACCAGAACAACATACCAACAAGGTGAACATAGGCGAATAACTGACAAATATACCACCTAACCTTCACAGACTGTTACTTCAAGCATTTGACAAAAAAATTTCCATATCAAGAGAATACATTCACTTTGCATCACTATTTCTTATGATACATTAATATTTATGGCAAGTTCAGTATAAAAGCATTCACACAGACTACATTGTTAAACACTGTATTTCGGCAATGCTTATGCTGTAATTCACCAGCTGGTTTATATTCAGTTGCTCTAAATGATATTTTTCACCCATCTGTGGAAGGTGGGTGGATGGCAAATTTCCAGTCACTGCCAAATACTAAAAAAATTCATATAATAATAATAATAGAAATATCTTATATGATTTCATGAATGTGCCCTTGACAGGGATTTGATGTAGGGAGAAAAAGAGTAAGTAGCTTTGATCATTTTGATGTTACCAGGGAGATGATGAATCTGGAGTATGCCATCAACCTCATCTTACTCCTAGAACACAGCTGAGTACTATGGTACTGCCACAGCACACTGTACATGAAAAGCCACCACATACTTATGGGAACATATGTAAGGAGTCATAGCTTTAAGCAAAGGCCAAGCACAAAGCTGCCCAGGGTCACCAACTCATGGGCAACAGGAGCGTCCTAGTAAATGGTAGGGATGACCTTGCTGCCTGCCCTGCCACATGTCCTGTCCTGCCCCTCTCAGAGGGCTGCTTGAAGTACCGGCAATGCCAGAGCAGCTGGGCCGGATCCTGCCGGCCCTGGACCTCCTGCTCCGTGGCAGGAGCAGTGAGGCCCCCTGTTTCTGGAACTGCAGCCCAAGCAGAGCAGCAAGGTGCTCTGGGAGGGGACACGGCCATATATCAGCAACTGGCAGTGGGTCCTCTATCCTTGGGCTCACTGGGAGCAGGCCAACATGCTACCAACTGCTGGCAAAAGGAAGGCAAGAAGAGAGAAAAATAGTCTGAGCCCTGTCTTCATCTTCTCAAACCTTCCAAGTTCATTTGAAATCTTACTGACCACTTCCAACTTCTCCCTAATTCTCCAATACTTTCCAGTACCTGTACGGCCCTGATGTGATGGCAGGCATCCTGCCACAGTGGTGGGGATGTGTACTCTTCTGCGCTGCACGCACTCAGCAATATATCTAATCTGGAGAAGAACCAGCCTGTGCACATGCTACTTAAACATCTCTCATGGTCCAGACCTGCCCCTGGGGCTCAGCTGGGCCATCTCTGCTCTTGGCCATTTAAAAGAAGTTGCAAAAGGTATTAGAAGCAAATACAAACAGCTAAATACATAGAGAGGGAAATGTTAGGTCATGGTGGGTACCATCATAAATTTTAGAAAGCTCTTATATGAGAAAACAATATCACTGAAGTAATTTAAGCTGGCATATATAATTGGCATTATATATATATATATGGCATATTATATCAGCTAACAATCTCAGTTCAAACACTTCAGGTTTGATGCTCATTCCAGCTTTACTCTGGTGCCTAACACCAGTGTTTCTGGTGCAGCAATTCCTGATCCATGCTAATGCAAATGAAAGGACATATTAATATTTAAAATGGATCCTTAAGTTTCTTTGGAAAAATAACCATATTGTTGCCTCTTAAAATAGTATTTTGCAAGTTTGAAAAAGGAGCAGTTATAATTGTCTTGGACAAAGGTTTCTTATCTCTTCTCATGTCCTTTTAAAGTAACTGACAATTCAAAGAGCTTGAGCTATGCCAATTCCACTAGAAGAAGAAAAAACATCCTGCATTATTCCAGATCAAAGATAATGGAAAAATAAAGACATTTATAGGAAGTCTAAGGAGAACAGAGACAGTGTGGTATTTCTCTCCTATTTGTAATTTTTGCTAATGCTTTAAGAAAACATAGTCATTAAAGTATACTCTTGCCTGCTGGAGAAAACACTGTACAAAACGATTGCCATTTGCAGAGGAAGCTCAGCCTGTAGTAAAGAAACCATCTTTACAAACAAGTAAACCTGTAGACTGTACCCAACTGACATCTCTCTTTTCATCCAATGATTATTGAAAGTCAAGACTTGAGGCCTAAGGGGAAGGAATTATTGAGATGATAGATAACCTCTTACATCTAGAGATAAATACCACACACCTACACTCACACTGCTAAATCCCTCTGGAGAATGGGACACTGAACGAACAAATACTCCCAATTTATCACCAAAATGCTGTGGCAATGAGTGGGAGTCCCCTGAAATAGCTTATAAACTTTTTCTTGGTAGGTGCCATCAGTAACTCCCTCTCCAGCTGGAGGTCCCTGCAGAACTAGTGCCATGTGACATGTTGGTCAGCACATCCAGGGGGCTGTAGCCTGATGGGAATCAATGTGCCAAATGGAGCCTCGCAGCCCCACGCTCTCCCTTATTGCACCAAGAGCTACAGCACTGCCAAACCTGCTCATCAATCAGCGCTCACTGTGTATCTGCACAGAGAGCAGATAGCTAACAATGGCCAAAAGAGAGCCACTGCTGTTAGAAATAATTTCTTTCCCTGAAAAAGCATTACTATTATCAGTATCCTTTGTTTCATCCTTGTGGACATCCTAAGGTCTGGTAAATTTAAGAACTGAGGGAAGAGGGAAAGGGAATAAGTCTGCCCCACCCATGGACCCTGCCCGGTCTCAGCCTGGAGGCTAACAGGAAGAAGGGAGGAGAAGCAAAGCCCAGAGTTGGTGCTTTCTGCATAAACTGAAACCACCCTGCCCCGCACACGGTATTTCTGAATATTAAGGATGCCTGCACCCTGCCCCTGGGCCTGCTCCTGCCCCTCCGGGACAAGAAGGTAGCTTTTCTATTATATCCAGTTTACTGATGGATTTACTGGATTTATGAAATCAGAGCTGGGGCAGAGAAGGAGAATAATCCAAGCTTTCATTATTTAATCGCCTTTGAAGTGATTCATATAGAAAAGAAACTGAGTAAATATCAACCTGTTCAATTTCTTCACCCTAAGGAAATTACTGCTTTTGTATGTCACATTAGAACAGTGACGTATAAAAGCATCTCCCTTGCTTTTTAATCTGAGAGTTCAGGATAAAATAAGATAGGCATATTTTATGTGAATGTAAATAAATCTCTGCGGTATCTGTTATGGCAATATTTGTGTCTTGAGGCGTATGACATTTTCAGTTCAGAACTTCCTTTATGGGGAACAAAATAGCAACAATAAGATAGAACAAGATATGCCCTGGGTCTATATAATGCCACGGGTGACCAGTGAGGAGAGACACCACTTTCTCTAATCCAGGAAGGGAATTTATTTTCTTATGACACATGTCCATTTGGGTTTGCAGTAGACCTGAGACAATACAGTCTAAGATTTTGCAAAAGAAAGCACCAGAATGTAACCCTTGCTCATTCCCCATAAATTATTAGCAATTTATTTTAATTTCTGATCTAATTATCTGTTTTAATATCTTACACTGATTTTATTTATTGTCATATTTTATCTTAACCTTTAAGGAATCCTTTGCAAGAACTTTAAATTGAAGCTTTTAAGTGGAAGCTTTGGTGATTATTTGCATTGGGGCTTCTCAAAAGAAACAACTTAATGATTTCTCCCAGGGCCTTAATTGGCTAGACAGAGGCTGAATATACTCCCTTATATCGGTCATGGATTGTGCCTTACTAGTCAGCATTGAGATTTTCAATAGTGAGCTGCACAACAATGACACAAATGCACAGGAAATAATTCATTGTAAGGAGAAGCTTAAGTCTGAATTCCTTTAAAAGGACACATTGTGGTTTTCCCCTAATGGAAGTCAGGCATCTATTAATAGACATAGATGTTCTCTGGCTCATTATGGAAACAAAGCTGTTTTTTCCATGGTTTGACAAGAACGGGCTTCCCTTCCCCCCCAATTCTTTTTTCCCCCTGCTTCTGTTGTTCTGTTGTCTTGGTCTACACTTAAAAATATCATCTGCTCCTTGTTTAAGTCCAGTATTGTTCACTGCCCTTGCAGTATGTAAGCATACTCTGTGCTAGCATGCAGACACCCTTGTTTGTGGGAGATGCTTTACAAGGTTTCCCATTTTGAATAATTGCAAAGCTTGTTTATTGCTTTGCTGCTATGCGCCAGTATATTGCTGATTGTGAGAATCTAGCCCAGGCTCATCCATTGTTTGACATGATCACTCAAACAGCTTCTTTGTGCTCTACTCTCTCATCATCCTCCTGGCATAATCCCTGTGAAAACAGCTCGCTTCAAGTGTCACAGGTGTTATTTGGCTTTCCTTGCTTCTTCTCTTCACTCCAACCCTCCCCTCCTCCCATCTTACAACAAGAGTACCTTTTAGACTACACTGTACCGTTCATAGTTTATTTATGCAGGATGTAGCAACCCGGAGAACTCCTTCTTTTTAAACAAAACATAATTGATAGCTGAACACATTTGAGCTGTAATATGAGGAAAAAATCAAATGTTCTTGAAAAATGGCATTTCACTCAGTCAATATTGAATGTTTAATTCTTTTCTGAGCACAAACAGAAAGCAGCATAAAGTTGGCTTAAAATATTTTTAAAATCTCTTGCTTCTGGCTTTTAAGCTATTATAGCAGTCTCGTATCACATTTTTAAGGTTTTCTCAAAAAACATGATTAGAATGATTCATTAAAAAGCTAACTTAAGATTCTCAAGTGATTACATTATTCCAAGACCTTAGAATTAACAAAAACCAAACATCTAATTCAAAATTTGTAACATCATATTTCAACTTTTGGTTAAGCTTACCTCATTTAAGCTGTTAAATTGCTCTGTTGCTTCTTTTGGTGAAATGCATGTGGTCTGATCTATTCTACAAAACAAAACAAGAATTTTCACTCAATAGATTGCTTATCTGTGCTGCAAATATTTCAAACTTTTCATCATGTCTGTACATAAATTACAAGTTATGGGATAAAGTTGTTTTATTAAAAAAATAACATTTCTATGAAAGTTACATCTGTATTTTATACCTCATTCAAAACAACAGTGATTTTACTGGAATCTTAAATAATATATTTAAACTGTGAACAAGGTTTAAATATATTATTTAAGATTCCAGTAAAACTATGACATTAAAATCTGGCCTCACTTTGTCACACAGAAAGAGTTCTACAGAAGCACGATAAGCTCTCAGTATCTTGATGATCTTGGTTAAAGCCAAGAAAAAGCTCAAACATATGTTTAAATCTAAGCACGATTTGTCCCACATGCTTTAAGTCAGGAACAAGAGTTTTCCTGTATCAGAGCCATAAAGAATAAATTTTTCCATATTTAAATTTGATGCTATTTCAGGCTCCCAATCTTCAACTTTCTGCTTAAGTTCTGTTTTGCAAATGTCACAAAGGCCTAAGGGACTCTCATGAGGAGCCAGAAATCCTTTGAGTAAGAGAGATGTCCACATTTTCTAATGAGTGTCACTTTGCAGCCATCAGAGATGTCCGTACCTTTGATTTTCCCTCAGTGTATCACTGCTTCCCCACATGGAAATAGGAAAGGAAGGTCCTGGACCAGCAAGGGGAAAAATCTCTTCCCTCTGACTATGGCTGATGAGACAACTGTGCCCCGTCCAGGCAGATGTGGTCATGGCCTAAGGCGCCACACACCTACCAGCTTCAGGATTAGTTACAAATTCACTCTGCCAAGGGATGAAACTGAAGCCTAAAAAAACCTTCCCATGGATTAGGTGAGCAATCTGAATAGCCTCATACCATAGCTCTGTCCTTCTGCAAAGCAGGGACTTTCCACACTCAACTTCAAACCCTGACATGGGTGTATCATAAGTTGACTCGCAACTCAGCTGAAGCAAGAAAACTATTGCTGTCTCAGAGAATCAGATTTCTCATTGCTGAAAAGGTGGCAATGTTTGCTGGCCCCTGTGAGACTCACTCACAGACATGATCAAAAAATAACACAAACCCCAGATTCCTTTAGACAAAATAATTCATATTTTTCAACCTATTGTGTTCAGAGTCATCCCAGCAAAACCAAATAGTTTTAAAAGTCTCTAGAGACCTCAAAAACAGTACAGACAGATGCACAGGCCTTTGTTGTAGTTTTTCATAGATTTATGAGGCATTTAAAGACTGGAATGATGGATATGCCACTTTCCTACCAAAATAGACATATTAGCTAGCTACACCAGGGTGAACAACCACTTGCCTCCAAACAGGATCCAAGGTGTGCAATTCACATAGGAACAAAAATGAGGCATTTTGGTGGTGGTACATATAGCACCAGAATGGGAGGTCTCACAGGCCAGCCAGCCTGCACCTCCCTCAGGATACACAGGTACGTGATCAGAAGTGAGGGATTTCTGGAGATACTTAAGCAGCGAGGTGCCTTGGCTGACTGTTGTACAAGCACCTATCTACATCTCTATGTAGCTCTCCATATACATATTCTTTCCGCCACCTCACCTGAAAATGAATAGCAAATGTCTCCATGTGAAGAGAACAGAAGGAAAATGGAATTACAGAAGCAAAAATGTTAATGCCTAACAACCTATCTCTAGCTTTTAGGCAGCAGAGAGGACAGTATGTGGCAGCAGAAAAGAGTTAAAGAAACTGAGAAAAAGCAAGGGGAGAGCAAAAGGAC